CCAAAGCCAAAATGCTCACTGCAATAACCCAAGATCAATATAATTAATTAGTAAATAATTAACACATTAATTATTTAAGATAAAATCAATTGCATTCATCTAATAAAATGTTTGTGTTGGAAGTGAAGACTCACATGTGGTGGCACCAGCACCTGCTGCAGAAGACACTACTCCTAAACTTGTAATTGATTCCACTAAACCAACATAAACAATACTCTTTAAGATATCCCATCTCTGGCCTTCTCTAGTTTCAACTCCCGTAGTACACCCAGGTTCAGGCGCCACTTGTAAAATAACATCACCTCCTGCATCATGTCATTATAAATAATGTCATTGTGACATGCAATAATTTTTAGAGAATTTGTATCCGTAGCATGACATGTATATTCATCACAAGTGGTTACCCAATAGTATATTAAATATACTAATCGCAATTATGCCATGAATATCTCAAGATTGAATAGCTTAATTCTAAAAAAAATAAGAAGTTAATGTATCAATGGAACTTGTCATGGTGAGAGCTCCTCCAACTTTTAGCCAAACATCAACATCAAAATGAGAAAAATAATATTTATGTTATAATGTGCTTGCACCATCAAATATAGATTAGATGATCTCAGTTTGTGAATGCCTGTGATGTTTCCAACCATTGCATCATCTTGTTTCTGTTTTGAAGGAATTAGTAACTTGTTTAAATACTAGCGATTTGTCATACATATGTATCATGTATGTTAATTATCAGTTACAGGAAACATCTGTTCACATGCACATAATAATATAATATCATCTTGGATTTTAATGAATAATTAATTCTCAACGTAATATATATGCTGATCTGTAATCCTTAATAAGGAGCAAGCTATATATTTACCTGTTTTCTTGTTGGTGATTGGCATAAAAATAGACGAGGGCCAATATGCATTTGCTCCAGCACTTTCATTCCCGGCTGCCTCTTCCTTCCTATCCCCATCTTTATTTTCAAAATTGACTGCAAATTAAATTCAATAAAAATAATTAAGCTCTTGGTATTTGCCTCAAAACCCTTGATAATATATATAAAAAATAATAATAATAATATAACATACCTGTAGGAAAGAAAAAGCTGAAGCTTGATAGGCACCTGAAATACACATCTTCTTCAGTTTCTCTTTCGTCGATTAGAGGTTCAGTGTCATCACGAACATCTAACTGGGTTCTGGTAGTACAGACTCGGACATGGGATAAATTAAATCATGTGTATGTTGCTTCTTTATTACCTCCTCAACGTCAAATTTCAATTCCGGGTCAATCACATCAACCCCTGCGTCATGTCATTAATTGTGACATGTAAGAATTTTTAGACATATATTATGAAAATGAATTACACTTTCTATTGAACTACTTAATAGAATGAAGTCTGAATTTATTTTGTGCGCGTGTATGTTAGTTTGTTGAAGGAATGAAATCATTTTGTCAATATATACCTCTTTTGCTTCCAACCACTCCATCATCTGGAGAAACTTGAGTATATATGATTTGAGCCAAACATCAACATGAAAGATGTGAAAAATCTTTCTATATTTATTTATTTGTTTGCCACATCAACTATGATCTCTTTTTGTAAACAATACCTGTAATGTTTCCAACCATTGCATCATCTTGTTTTGAAGAAATCATAGTATCCTTGTGCGTGTTACCATATAAAGTTTCAGAGTGGCCCGCTACCCTATTGCCTACACCAATATATCAAACAAAGATGAGAGAAAAAAAAAAATTGCATTCATTATCCGTCTTTCCAACATAACAAGTAATTTACCAAATATTACAGTAAAAATAATATCAAGTATGCCATGAATATTTTAATTGAGATCGAATTAAGTTATTTAAATACAAGAGATACGTCATACCTACATTGAATCATATATATGCATGTGTCAGTAAATATGTGTTCACAGGATATGTCATCTTGGATTTTAAGGAATATCTCGGCTTAATAGTACTTTTGAATGTATATGCTGATCTATAATCATTAATAAGGAGCTATATATTTGCCTGCTTTCTTGTTTGTTGGTATAAAATAAGACCAGGGCCAATATCCTTTGCTCTAGCAGTTTCATTTCCTATTCTGATCGTTACATCCAACATTGACAGCAAATTAAATTCAACAAAATAGTTAAGGTTAGAGGTTCATATGGCATATATTGGCCAAACCCTTGATAATATAGATCAGTCCATTAGGAACTTATTTATCTACAGTTATATATATTACATAACTCTAGGAATTAAAAAGCTGAACCATGATGCTGCTGTATGACGTTTTGTTGGGTTTAGTTTACTGTTGCCTGATTGCGTCCACCAATCGCTGCATGTGTGGAACTAGAAATTCTTTCTTGAGAGAGCTGAAAAAATTCTTAAAAATTGTTAAGAAGAGTAGACTTGTTATGAATTTAAGAATTTACAAAATAAAGTAAAAGTGTGCGAAAAGATAGAAAAAAATGGTATAAAAGAATTCTTAAAAAAAAATGTTGAGACATTAGAAAATCAAAATTATTTATTAGAATAAATTAGTTTTTTTAAATAAAAAATAATTCTGAATATTATATAATAGATTTAGAAGTTTAAAAAATTTATTATTTTAATATTCTTTAAGTTTCACCAGGGTACAACCAAGAGAAATATTACTGCAACTCTTCGCTGTTTTGAAACAAAGGTAAACTATAGTAATACAAGACTTGCAGCTGGGACAAATTCAATGATGAGTAAAATTTTGCATTTTTATGACCTTCTCATCCTCTTCCTGGTAAATGACAAATCCATCTGCATGGCCATGATATGACTCCCCGTCCTCTCCGAGTGGGCTTCCACTATTGGAAGATTTGGGAGCTGACAAATCATGTGTATCTTGCTTCTTTATTACCTCTTCAACATCAAATTCTGTCAATTCCGGGTCAATCACATCAACCCTTGCGTCATGTCATTAATTGCGGCATGTAAGAATTTTTAGACATATATTATGAAAATGAATTACACTTTCGATTGAACTACTTAATGGAATGAAGTCTGAATTTATTATGTGCGCGTGTATGTTAGTTTGTTGAAACAATGAAATCATTTTGTCAATATATACCTCTTTTGCTTCCACCCACTCCATCATCTGGAGAAACTTGAGTATATATGATTTGAGCCAAACATCAACATGAAAGATGTGAAAAATCTTTCTATATTTATTTATTTGTTTGCCACATCAAATATGATCTCTGTTTGTAAACAATACCTGCAATGTTTCCAACCATTGCATCTTGTTTTGAAGAAATCATAGTATCCTTGTGCGCGTTGCCATGTAAATTTTCAGAGTGGTCCGCTACCCTATTGCCTACACCAATATATCAGACAAAGATGAGAGAAAAAATAAAAAATTGCATTCATTTGTATCTGTCTTTCCAACATCACAAATAATTTACTAAATATTACAGTATACATATAAAAATAATATCAAGCATGCCATGAATATTTTAATTAAGACCGAATTAAGTTATTTAAATACTAGAGATATGTATAATTTACCAAATACTACAGTACACATATAAAAATAATATCAAGCATGTCATTGTGTCTCATCCTTTTCTTAAGATTCTTAATTGTGCTTTAGTTTCCACATTTATTTGCTTTTAATGTATTCGTCAAAAAGTTTAGAACTATTAATCCCCCACTTCTTGTAATTGAATTCAATTTTCAGGATTATTCTCCTAGAAAAGTAACCAAATTCTCTTTGCTTTCGCTCAAACTCATTTTTCTTTACTTGTGACAATATCCCAATTCGTTTCTTCTTTCCCATAACTGAATCCATAGCATTTGTCGTTGAGCCTGTTGCCTCTAAACTCTTTAAGGGGTTGTTTGAGAAATTGGCATTTGTGGTTGAGCCTCTATAATATATGCTCGTTTGTCTTGAATCGTATAATTTGATTTTCACTGTATTTGATAAAGGCGAAAGAAGTGAATAGATGGATCATGTTCAATCTTCCAACTCTAGAGTCAAAATCATGAGATGATGCAAGTTGATTCCAATAAAGGAACCACAAAATTGGAATGCATAAAGAATGCTAATGAATTTGGGACAGTGCAAGGTAAGTAAAAGACGGAGATCATATGTTGCTTAGTATTCATCAGATCTTTCAATAACTAATATTATATATGGATAGATTCATAGATACATAGTACTTATTAATTATCATGTATACATAATATATTTAAAATTAATAGTGAACGGAAAAACTAGAAAAGGCATTCATATTCAACCATCCAATAACTCAATAAGCCAAAAAGGGAGACGAAACCACTTAAACGAGCCAAGCTAGAATTAATAGTGAATAGATACAGTAAGTTAAAAGACTATATGTTGAAGATCAACCCCAGCCCATTACAGAACCCAACCAAAATTTTGATTTCAGCCCAATCCATTTTATCTTAGTCCAAAACAATAGAAGCTTCTCAACAAATGTGGAAGAAAGATATTTTTAGAGAAAATTGTAGAAGGATATAGAAAAGAGATTTTTTAGGAGAAGTGTATAGAATGTGGTAATAATATGTGGTTAGAATTATTTCTTAATTTTATATTTATGTGGTGTATATTGTATGGTGAGGACTATAAATACCCTCCCTTGCATTTGGGTTAGGTATCCTCCAAAAATTAAGTCTTTGTATTCTTAGTTTGAGTGTGGTATCTTGAGTGTGAGTTGTGAGCTTTCTTTTGAGTGTTTGTATTTCTCTTCAAATTGTGAGTGGTTTTGAAAAGTGTTGTAGTATCTTTTATTGTGGATATAATACAAGTAATTTGTTTACTTTTTTGAGCCCAACATTAGTAAGTATAGAGTTGTGTACTCTAAATTTTACTCAACAATTGGTATCAGAGCGGGACGGTCAGGGATCATTCTTGGTGGAGTTATCTTGAGTCGTGAGGAGTTTGGTACTCTGCAAGTTTGTTAGTCAAGCTTGTTTGGTATAGTCGAAGTCTTGCTGGCACGATGGGTGACCTTCAAGTAGTTGGAGGAATCAAGAAGCTCAACAACAAAAACTACAACACGTGGGCAACATGTATGGAGTCTTACCTACAAGGCCATGACCTTTGGGAGGTTGTCGGTGGTGATGAAGTTACACAACCGGCGGCAGAAGATGCCAATGACATCTTACGAAAGTGGAAAATTAAAGCAGACAAAGCAATGTTTGCTTTAAAGACCACAATTGAAGAAGAAATGTTGGAGCACATTTGGGATGCCAAAACACCAAAGGAAGCATGGGACACTTTTGTTACACTCTTTTCAAAGAAGAATGATACAAGACTACAACTTCTCAAGAACAAGCTGCTATCGATGGCGAAACGTGACATGACGATTGCCCAGTACTTTCACAAGGTGAAGTCGATATGCCACAAAATTTCAGAATTAGATCCAACAGCTCCTATTGGGGAAACTAGGATAAAGAGAATTATAATTATCCATGGTTTGAGACCCGAATATCGAGGGTTCGTTACCGCTGTACAAGGATGGCCGACACAACTATCTCTTGTTGAGTTTAAGAATTTGTTGGCTGATTAAGAAGCAATGGCTAAGCAAATAGGAGGAGTCTTGCTGAAGGGTGAAGAAGAAGCGCTCTACACCAGCAAAAGCAAAGGCACTTTCAAGCGGTACAATGGTAGTGGATCTAAAAAGGATGGTGACAAAGGGAAAATTCCTCAAGGAAAGGGAGGCTCTCTCCAAGGGGAGCTTCGAAGAATCGCGGTAATAACAGAAAATTCGATGGTGAGTGTTACAACTGTAGGAATATGGGTCACATGGCGAAAGATTGTTGGACCAAGAAAAAGCATGTTGAAAGTAATACTGCTATTTCCAATCCTAAGGAGAATAACAAAAATGATTGGGATGCCGAAACGTTATTAGTTATGGAAGAAGAAGAATTAGCCTTTATGGTAGCAATACCAGGAAGGATTGACTACGAGAATGATTGGATCATAGACTTGGGCTGCTCAAATCATATGATGGGTGATAGACAAAAGTTGCAAATCTGTCTGAATACAAGGGAAATCGTGTGGTGGTAACAGTCGACAACTCAAGCTTACTGATAACATATATCGGTAAAACAATAGTTACACCTCGGTATAATCCTAACCAGGTGCAACTTCAAGATGTCTACCATGTTCCAGGAATGAAGAAAAATTTGCTATCTGTGGCTCAATTGACATTATCAGGCCACTATGTCCTGTTTGGGCCGCAAGATGTGAAGGTGTTTCAAGACCTCAAGATCTCAGAAAAGCCAACGATGGCTGGACAACGATTGGAGTTAGTTTACGTGATGTCAGTAGAGTCTGCATATGTAGACAAGACAAGAAGGAACGATTTGGGTCGCAAGATGTGAAGGTGTTTCGAGACCTCAAGATCTCAGAAAAGCCAACGATGGAGGGACAACGATTGGAGTTAGTTTACGTGATGTCAGTAGAGTCTGCATATGTAGACAAGACAAGAAGGAACGATTTGGGTCGCAAGATGTGAAGGTGTTTCGAGACCTCAAGATCTCAGAAAAGCCAACGATGGAGGGACGACGATTGGAGTCAGTTTACGTGATGTCAGTAGAGTCTGCATATATAGATAAGACAAGAAGGAACGAGACAGTAGACCTGTGGCACATGCGGCTGGGACACGTTAGCTATTCTAAGCTAAACGTGATGATGAAGAAGTCAATACTAAAGGGACTTCCTCAACTTGACGTACGAACAGAAACAGTCTGTGCGGGATGCCAGTATGATAAAACACACCAATTCTCATATGAGGAATTGAAGTTTAAAGGAAAAGAACCATTGGAACTAGCTCACTCTGATCTATTCGGGCCCGTTAAGCAACCATTAATTGGCGGTATGCGGTACATAGTGACATTCATTGATGATTTTTCAAGGTATGTGTGGGTTTTCTTTATTAAAGAAAAATCGGACACATTCTCAAAGTTTAAAGAGTCTAGAGAGTCAACTGAAGGAGAAGTGGGAAAGAAGATTCGTTGCTTGCGCACAGACAACGGGGGAGAATATAGCTCAAGCGAGTTCTCTCAATACCTAAGGGAATGTCGAATACATCATCAATAAACTTGTGCCAACACGCCATAACAGAATGGTGTAGCAGAGAAAAAGAACCGGTATCTTGCAGAAATTTGTTAGAGTATGCTACATGAAAAGAATGTACTTGGAAGGTTTTGGGCTGAAGCAATGAGGACTGCAGCCTTTGTGATCAATAGACTTCCTCAACCGAGGTTAGGATTTGTTTCACCTTTTGAGAAACTGTGGAACATGAAACCTACAGTTAGCTACTTTTGAGTATTTGGCTGTGTATGTTATGTATTTGTTCCTGATCATTTACGAAGCAAGTTTGACAAGAAAGCTGTTAAAATGTATCTTTGTGGGATACGACAACCAGAGAAAAGGGTGGAAATGTTGCGATCCAACGAGTGGAAGATGCTACACTTCATGAGATGTGGTGTTCGATGAAGCATCTTCTTGGTGGTCCATAGACAAGGAGGTGTTGCTAGACTCAAGAGAATTTGAAGACAAGCTGCAACAAAAGATGGGGGAGCATACTGTTCAACTTCAACCAAGTTCAAATGAATAAGAAGATCCAAACGGCCACGATGACGAACAAAGAGTGACTCATAATCCTTGGCAAACCGGCATGTATCAACAACTAAACGAAGAAAGTGGGCCTAGTGAAACGGAAGAATCAACTCCACAATCTCAAATCCGAAGGTCAACAAGAACATGAAGGCCAAATCCCAAGTACGCCAATGCAGCCATAATTGAAGAAGCAACTATAATAGAACCTGAGATGTTTGAAGTAGCATCGCAAAGTTCTAAGTGGGTGACAGCTATGAAAGAAGAGATCGATACACTTCAGCAAAATCAGACTTGGGATTTGGTGCCAAAGCCAAGAGATGTGAAACCCATATCCTGTAAGTGGGTTCATAAGATAAAACGTTGTTCAGATGGGTCAATTGAGAGGTACAAGGCACGATTGGTAGCTTGTGGTTTCTCTCAACAATACAGACTAGATTATGATGAAACGTTTAGTCTAGTGGCGAAACTTGCAACTGTACAAGTCCTACTTGCACTTGCAGCCAACAAAGACTGGAATTTATGGCAGATGGATGTGAAGAATGCTTTTCTTCATAGAGAGCTGGATCGGGAGATCTACATGACCCAACCAATGGGTTTTTAGAGCCAAGATCATCCTGAATATGTGTGTAAGCTGCGGAAAGCACTTTACGAGTTGAAACAAGCACCCAGGGCGTGGTATGGTAAGATTGCTGAATTTCTAACACAAAGTGGTTATTCAGTAACACCTGCAGATTCCAGCTTGTTTGTCAAAGCCAATGAAGGAAAGCTAGCTATCGTGCTAGTGTACATAGATGATTTAATCATAACCAGTGATGATGAGGCAGAAATTCTTCGGACGAAGGAGAATTTATCAATTCGTTTCCAGTTGAAGGAACTTGGACAGCTCAAGCACTTCCTTGGTCTAGAGGTAGATCGCACACAAGAAGGAATATTTCTTTGTTAGTAGAAATATTCCAAAGATTTTTTGAAGAGGTTTGGAATGCTTGAATGCAAGCTGATTTCGATGCCGATGGAACCAAATGCCAAAATATTTGCAAATGAAGGAAAAGATTTGGAAGATGTGACAATGTATTGAAAATTGGTAGGCAGTCTAATCTACTTAACCTTGACTCGAGCTGACATTTCTTATGTAGTTAATGTGATGAGCCGGTACATGCAAAATCCAAAGAAGCCTCATCTGGAAGCAATTCGACGAATACTGAGATATGTGAAGAGTACAATTAATTATAGTCTTTTGTACAAGAAAGGTGAAGACTGCAAGTTAGTTGGTTACTGCGATGCTAACTATGCAGGAGATCATGACACCAGGAGATCAACAACTAGGTATGTGTTTAAGCTTGGTTCTGGAACAATTTCTTGGTGTAGCAAGAGACAGCCGACAGTATCATTATCAACTACTGAAACTGAGTATCGAGCAGCGGCAATGGCAGCTCAAGAGAGTACATGGTTGATACAGCTAATGAATAATCTACATCAACAAGTAGATTATGCAGTTCCGTTATACTGTGACAACTAGTCAGCAATTCGTTTAGCAGAGAATCCAGTCTTTCATGCAAGAACTAAGCATGTTGAAGTGCACTATCATTTTATCAAAGAAAAGGTTCTGCAAGAAGAAATTGAGATGAGGCAAATCAAGACAGATGATCAAGTTGCAGACTTGTTCACAAAAGGCTTGAGCATTGGCAAGTTCGAAATGTTTCATTGTCAACTCGGCACAGTGAAAATAGTGAGAGCTGGTGTTGAGGGGGAGTGTTGAAGATCAACCCCAGCCCATTATAGAACCTAACCAATATTTTGATTTCAGCCTAAGCAAAATAAAAGCCCAATCCATTTTATCTTAGTCCAAAAAAATAGAAGCTTCTCAACAAATGTGGAAGAAAGATATTTTTAGAGAAAATTGTAGAAGGATATAGAAAAGAGATTTTTTAGGAGAAGTGTATAGAATGTGGTAATAATGTGTGGTTAGAATTATTTCTTAATTTTGTATTTATGTGGTGTAGATTGCATGGTGAGGACTATAAATACCCTCCCTTGCATTTGGGTTAGCTATCCTCCAAAAATTAAGTCTTTGTATTCTTAGTTTGAGTGTGGTGTCTTGAGTGTGAGTTGTGAGTTTTCTTTTAAGTGTTTTCTATTTCTCTTCAAATTGTGAGTGGTTTTTGAAAAGTGTTGTATTATCTTTAATTGTGGATATAATACAAGTAATTTGTTTACTTGTTTGGGTCCAACATTAGTAAGTTTAGAGTTGTGTACTCTAAATTTTACTCAACACTATATACATAATACTTTTTTTTTTCTTTCTTATTTGTACGTAATTTAAAATTAATAGTGAATGAAAAGAGTACAAAAGATGATATTGTCTGAAACACAGAACCATGCTTTTTCCTCAAACTTGAAACCTTCCAATTCCTTGTGATTGTACAACGCTCGAGCCATTGTCGTTTTGCTGATCCCTTCCATGCCGACAACTACAATAACGAGAAATTAAGTTTGCACCACGTGGTTGATCGCTTTTTAGAGCCATTTCAACTAGTTTGGCTTCATTTTCTTTTTTGCCATAAACAACATTTTTAGGTTGCACGCTTGAACTTTGCTCTCGTCTTGGTAGTACTGCAGAATTACTTGATGCGCCTCCAGAAATCTCTTGCAATCCATGTTCATTTGATCTTTCCAGCTGGAGTTTTTCCAAGTGGCTAGTGATGTCTTTGATATCAGACCCCATTTGGACATTGAACAAGGGACCAGGGGCAGAGAGGCAGCTCATTCCCTTGCTAGAGCTAACCTGGTGTTCTGCATGCCTTCAATTTGCATTGCGAAGCTTGGTAGGCAAACTCATCCAGTAAGTCCTCCGCATCATAAGCCCAGTGTTGAAGATTGTCAAGCCACTCTTTTACGCTTTCATCTGTCAGTTGCTTGTCTTCTGCATTGCGAAGAAGATGTCCA